AAGCCTAAAGATTGGGGAAAGAAGGTTATAAAATTACTGGGTTTGATTTCTTTGGTAAAATTGGTAGTTAAGATAGATTTGACGTTAGGAGCCCCTCTAAAAATTATATTTGGTTTTTCTGGAATAATTTTAGAAAGTTTTTCATCATGTTCTAAAATATGCCAGTGTTTTTGGATGATCTTTTTGATCTCTTTACTTTTATTGGTATAATTTAAAATAATAGGGAGGGATATTGAGTCATTTTTGGTTTTGGGTTTATACTTTAAAAGCTCATCTCTGTTTTTATTTTTTATCTCATTAATATTTTCGAGTAGGTCTTTTTCTTGATAGTTTTTCTCTATAAATCTGTTTTTGAGGGCATTTGCTTGTTCTTCAAAATGTTCCAATTCTGTGCAATTTCTGCGCAATCTAAGAAATTGGCTTTTCGGAGCACTATCAAGCCACGGTTTGTAGTGGCAACTATTTTTATCGATTACTGTATTGACACAGACTTCTTTAACCCCTTAAGGACACATGACATGTCTGACATGTCATGATTCCCTTTTATTCCAGAAGTTTGGTCCTTAAGGGGTTAAAAAAGGTTTTTGTGTTTATTTTACCATTTTTGATGAATATATTGAGATCTAAAAAGTTTATTTGTTCTCTACTAAATTCATGGGTTAAAATTATGCCCCTGTTATTAGTATTAAGAACATTAAAAAAAGAGATAAGATTGTCTTCCGACCCATTCCAAATAAAAAAGAGATCATCAATATATCTAAAATATGAGACCAGGTTTGCCCTTAGGTTATCTCCGTTGTAAATAGCTGTAGATTCCCAATCTGCCATAAACAGATTGGCATATCTTGGGGCAAACCTGGTACCCATAGTAGTTCCTCTTCTTTGGAGGTAAAAGGAATCTAAAAACCAAAAATAATTATTTTTTAAAATAATATTTATACCCTCTAAAATAAAATTAATTTGTTGCTCCGGAATTCTATCTTCCTTTATTAAGATATTTTTAATAGCTTCACATCCAACTTTATGAGGTATAATGGTATAGAGTGATTGGATGTCACAGGTGACCAAAATAAAATTGGGGTCCCATTTAAAATCTTTTAAAAAGTTTAAAAGGGACATGGAGTCTTGAAGATAAGATTTCATTGTTTTAACAGCAGGTTGTAGAAGAGTGTCTATGTATTGGGATAGGTTACATAAAAGTGAACCTATTCCTGACACTATTGGTCTGCCTGGGGGATTAGTAACATTTTTGTGTATTTTTGGCAGGAAGTATATTACCGGAATTTTTGGGAATTTTGTGTTCAGGAAGTTATACTCTTGTTTAGTTAAAATAGCTTGGGATACACCTTTATTGAGAAAGGTTAAAAAGAGGTTTTGAATAGTCTTTGTTGGGTCTGATGAGAGTTTCTCATAAACGTCAGAGTCGTTAAGTTGTCTGTGCGCTTCTTCTATATACATGGCACTAGATAAAATGACTAGACCACCACCTTTGTCAGCAGGTTTTATCACAATATCATTATCGTCTTGTAGCTCTTTAAGTGCTTTTTTTTCTTTGTTTGTTAGATTTTGTGTATCGTATTTTTTAGTCTGCAACTTGTTTAAATCCTGTGTAACCAATTTCTCAAAAACAGTTAGTGGGGCAGTTTTCATAAAAGCTGGATAAAATTTGGATTTTTCTCTAAAATGCGTGTTAATAATATGTTTTTTGGGGGAGGAGGAAGAAGATAAAATTGCACTGTTGTCAGTAGGATTGGGAATGGAATTTTCTTCAGTTTTTTCATTAAAATAACGTTTTAAAGTTGCTTTCCGGACAAACTTATTGATGTCAATAAAAGCCTCAAAGGATTTAAAAGAATTGGTGGGGGCAAATTTAAGACCTTTATTTAAAACCGACAGTTGAGCTATAGTGAGAGTTTTTTGTGAAAGATTAAAAATCCCACTATTTGTGTTTGTGGGGGGATTTATTGTCTTTCTAATTTTTCTCTCTTGTTCCCGTCTACCACTTCTTCTTCCTCTAGACTTAAGGTTCTTTTTTGTGAACGTGACGGGTGAGGTGTTTGATTTAAAGTGCTTGGGTGAGTGCGAATTTCTAAAAAATTATCCTCATTTTCGAATTCGGAATCAATTGACAGTAGTTAATATCTATTAGAGTGATAGGGGATACTGGGTGATTTGGGATGTTCAGTTCTGTCATTAATATATCTAGATCTTTGAGGTTTTGGTGAAAAATTTCTCTTGTATGAGTTGGTGGTATATTTCTTAGTTGGTGGAGAGTGTGTATATTTGTGTTTGTAGTGGGTTAGAGTTTGGGATGACTGGTATTTTGGTCTAACTGAAGGTTCAAATGTAGGTCCAGAGTAAAAATCAGTTTGTGGCTTATGTGATCGTTGGGATTTGTAAGGTGACTGTGTGAATTTTTTGTTTGTGTAATTATGATATTGATTGTGATTTTGGTGGTGGTCTTGTTGACGGGTATTAGTAGCGATTCTTCTTGTTTGAGGGAATATGTCAGTCCTTGTATGATGCCTGTTGGTTTGAAAATGATCATTGTGGTTTTGTGTAGTATATCTCCTATTCAGATGATAAGTGCGTACCTGTTTGTTGGAATAATCTGTTTTGTCCCTAATGTATTTTTTTATCTTAATGTGTTTTGTATCTGTCTCGACTTTTTCAATCTTACTTTGAATTAATATACAGTTTTGGTTATAAGCTTGTGTTTCAGTGAAGGGTAATAGTTTTTCTCTCAGATTATTAATCTCTGAATCTAGAATGGACAATTTTTTGCTTTTTTTTACTATTAAAGTCTCCATTAGCCCTAAAGTGCATAATTCCAATTTATTATTCCACTCTTTCATAAATTCAGGGTCGTCTTGGTCGGAGGTGGGTAATTTAAGTAATCTTTAGCCTCGGGGAGTGATTCTTTCATCAGTGTATTTTTTTAAAGTGGCTCTTTCACATTTTAATTTAATTTCTGAAGTAAGAGATCTTTCTAATTTAATAAACAATTCTTCTTGATTAAAACTGGGGTAATTTATCTGGATTGGGCTAATTGCCTCTGTGTCAAATACATTTTCAACATCAATGACATAATTATTCCTATATTCAAATATAGACATAGTGAAAAATGGATTGAAAAAGCTGCTGACTCTAGAGGGAATTATACAAATGGTAAAACAAAAAGGAGGAAGAGTCTGCGCTAATTCAATTAAGCAGCAACCCTAAAAGGGAAATCCCTCAAGAAACCCGTATGTAAGAAATGCAAGAAAAAAAGGGGGTAAAGGGCTGCGCTTGAGTAGGGAGATAAAAAAGTGAATAAGTGAATAAAATCGTATTTTGATAAAATAAACAGTGTCACGTGATCGGGATTAATAGTAATGAAACTCCTTTTTAAATTCTTTTTAAAGCTTTGTTTTCATAAAATTTTAATTTTTTAAGCCTATTAAGGCTCATATGAATATACCTATAAGGTTGTAATGTTACTTTGAAATGTATATATAGTTTGGTTTTAATACTTGTTTGTGATTGGTGCACAAAGAATTTTGGCGCCAAATTCAATTTCTGTAAACTTATATATTCAGTTCCTTGCCAGGTGTACTGTTCTTTTACCATTTTGAGAAAACCCCAAAGGTGAAACGCGTAAATGGTTTTAATAAGTGTATTTTAATCAATAAAAGTTTTTTTGGTTACTTTTTATACTAGGACCAATTGTAAACTTATTTTTATTGTATTTTATACACTTTCTTTTACTCCTGGCATTTTTATATATATATATATATATATATATATATATATATATATATATATATATATGTATCATCTCATACTATTTTATAGTTTTATCCATCCCATTTTTATTTTTATTTTTTATTTTATTTTATTTTTTAACTTGAAAGTATATTCCGTCCAAAGAAATCCTTAGGTGGGGATAATTCCACCAGAGCTGTGGCAATAGAGCAGTACCTGTCTGCTCTATTCTTGTAAGTATAACTCACTTAAAGTTAAAAATTACTTTGTTGTTCATACTGAGAGCACTATTTGCTGTTTTATATATACTCCGTGGATACCTATTATCCGATATCGGAAAGGCGGACCTATCTTCCAAGCATTAAGGAATTAACGCACATCTGAAGTAGATCCTAGCCGACACCACAGGAACTCCGAGCCGGATAGAAGGACCATCCAAGCATATCCGTTAGTGGGGATCAAACCACTTAGTGTCTCTTCTCCCAGAGCTGGCAAAAGCTCCACCAAATGTGAGTGAAATATATTTCCTTTGAATATATACAACATTAGGATATACAATATTTCACCATTGGCAGCTTTTTTTTTGTCTTTTATCTTCACATATATGGACTACCTACTACACGGACGGAGCCATACTTGAGGATTATTATCGTGTTACTGCATACCAGTGAGACTGTTTTCATTTATACTTTTTACAAATCCGGATGAACTTTACTTGATTTTATTACCACTGTTTATTTTATCAAAATACGATTTTATTCACTTATTCACTTTTTTATCTCCCTACTCAAGCGCAGCCCTTGACCCCCTTTTTTTCTTGCATTTCTTACATAAGGGTTTCTTGAGGGATTTCCCTTTTAGGGTTGCTGCTTAATTGAATTAGCGCAGACTCTTCCTCCTTTTTGTTTTACAATCTGATTAATGCAGTCGATTGTAAAGGTTCTCGTAGAGGTGTCCACACTTAGTTTATAATATATGGTTAAACATGCTTCAACATTCTATGTGTGTCTGAGAGGAGTTACAAGATAGGTGGGCGTATGAGATCAAGTGTAATTTTATTGTGTAGCTACTTTAAACTAGGGTTGTAGAGGATGCCTGGCTAAATGAGGCATGTATACAGGCTTAACGATCAACCCTAATACTGCAGTACTCAATTATGGGAGTGAGTCAGGGTTTAGAGGCCCAGTGAAGGTTGTGGGCACATGCAGTGGACTTAAATCACAATAGTACTGGGGCACATATAAGAATAACTAGCTCTAAGTAATATTAACTGCAGACATTTTGGACTGAACCTGCTTCAGTATGTTGCGGATCATGATTAGTCCTTGTGGCAGTTCCTGTGAGTCATCCCACGCCAACTCTGGAGGCTTGGTGCAGAAGCCCAGTGTGTGGGCCATGGATGGGCCATTGCTGGCCGCCATTCTGATGTGAGACCGCCCTTGTAAGACCGCCGTCGTTCCGGTTGTCCTTGGAGGGGATCTGAGAGGGGGCGGGATGTTGTGGTCTTTTAGATCCTGGGTACCGTCGGGTGGAGCAGGTGAGCATATCGGGCTTTGCTTCTCCTCTGTGCCGTGTGCCTCTGGTGTTGTCTCATGCGGTGTTCCCGCCTCTTGTGCAGCTTGGTCCGCCACCATGATGAGGTCTGTCCTGCGAATGAGACCTTCGGAGTGTTCCTCCAAGTTGGAGGCAGCTGCTTTTTCAATTGGCTGAGTGGCTGTTGTGATGTATGTAGCTGCGTTATACCCTCTATCTTGTGCCAGAAGCTGGCAAATAGTGCGTCCCGCTTCTGTTCGATTCCATAGCTTGTCACAGTGGGACCGGGAGGGCGATCCGGGTTTGCTTCTCTGGGTTGGACCGCGATCACCCCCGACAGTCCAGAGGGCGGAGTAACGGGCTCTTGCTCGTTGTGCAGCTTCACCATGCAGTGCCTGACCGGGAGGTCGGCTGCCACTCCTGGACGGTACGCGTCAGGCCCTGCGTCTCGAGGAGTGCAGCAAGCGGGCTTCAGGTGGGTCACGGACCCCTCCATCGGTCTCCAGCCCCATCGTTGGTCAGAATAGTCAAGCATCGGTCTCCAGCCCCATCGTTGGTCACCACATTCAAGCCTCTATCCCACACATTATAGCCCCTAACCCCAATTAAAGCCCCACACTACACTCTCTGTCCCCTAATTAAAACCCCTATCCCCTCTACTTCAGACCTATTTCACCTACAAAAGCCCCAGCCCACACCATACAGCTCCACTAAAGCCCCTATCCCCCCCTATTATGACCATTTACCCCCCCTCCACATTACAACCATATCTTTAACACAAGGATGTACATGTGGGGAGGCTATATGTGTGCAGCTTGCATGTTGGCGGGCCCCCATGCTCTCCAATTGCCCAGTGGCCATATGAGTTGACCTTTGTAACTGCTTTTCATAACTGCTTTATAGCTGTAGCCACATGAATATTCTGCTTCCAGGAGATGTAATGTAGTTGCAATTTCACAATGGTTCACAAATCAGGGAATATTCTCTGTAATTTGTTACACCTGTATACTATTTAATTTTATATAGCAATACTTAATAAAAAAAAAAAAAGGTTATCCTTAAATAAGCAAATGTGATTTATTTATAAACTTTGGTCATCATTGTACATCTTTTTTTCAATATAATTTATTTTTATTAAAATATCTTTTTATACAATCTTATTTTAATTTAAATAAATTAAATTAATACATAACTATTGAGTTGGTGTAATGTAAGTAGCATAATACAGAGAAATAATATAATGTAATTAATCTGTATAATAATTTTATCAACTGCTTTTTAACTTAATTATTTTACCGAACATCTCTAGCTAAATTCTACATTTTTGACACAATATATTAAAGTCCTAGGTTTGCAAAATTATACCCCCATTGAAAATATTTTTTTTGTCAACATTTACAGACTTTCAGCTGTTTGCAATGAACTCATCAAACAAAAGCAATTGGTACAGTTCAACACAATAAATGCTTCAAATGGTTTTCCCAAATTCAACTGAAAATGCAACGTATAGTGACTTCTTCAGTTTTAATAATTCAATACACTCCCTAATAGCACAAATATGCAAAACAGGTGTTGTCTCAAGAGCACCTAATGCAACTGATTAAGGGTTTCATTAGTTGCACCAGGTGTGCTTGAGCTGGAACACTTGAAATACCAGAACTGGCTAGTGATTTGTTGAGTGTCATGTTTGACCGCATGTTATAAATATGGTTAAGACAAAAGAAAGGTCCACAAAGTTAAGAAAAAAGATCATCGCCCCTTCACAAACAAGGAACAGGATACAAAAAGATAGAGAAGGCATTGCCTGTCCTTAGAGACACCACTGGAAGCATAGTTCGCAAGTTCAAAGTTGAAGGAACAGTGGCTATACTACCTGGATGGTGCATAAAAAGAAAACTAGCAATGGCAAAACAGGTGTTGTCTCAAGAGCACCTAATGCAACTGATTAAGGGTTTCATTAGTTGCACCAGGTGTGCTTGAGCTGGAACACTTGAAATACCAGAACTGGCTAGTGGTTTGTTGAGTGTCATGTTTGACCGCATGTTATAAATAAACAGTTGCAATATAAGATATACTATTACATGCAGAACCCCTTTTGTGATTTATAAAATGTCATGCCCTTGTGGTTTAATCTATATTGGCAAAACGGATACATCACTCTGTGAACGGATCAGGGGACACAGGTCTAACATTAGGATAGCCTACAGAGACGGTTATTCTGATAAACCGGTTGTTAAGCATTTCTTGGAGAAGGGACATTCTTTGGCTACCCTTAAATTTACCGCCATTGATCACATACCACAACCTCCGAGGGGAGGAGATCGTAGTAGATTATTGTTGCAGAAAGAATCATATTGGATTTATGAACTGAATGCAATGTCGCCTAATGGACTGAATGAGTTATTATCTTATCATCCTTTTTTGTAATCCCAATTTGCATTTATATGAATTCGTCTTAACAAAGTGCGTTGTATTGTAGTTTTGATTTGAATTGGGGTGCACACGTTTCTGGACCGCCTGTTATTACATCAGATATATATTGAGGTGCTAATTGTGCACCTTTGTCATAATAGGTAGTAAATATGACTTATGATTAAAGCATTGCAAGTTGAATTTGATTTAAAAGAAAATGTATTGCTTAGGTTTACACTTATCTAATGATTCATGTTTACATATGCAATGAATAGTATTTGATAATTTATTTTTTTATTACTTCTGTTAACCTTCCTATTCTGTCATTGAAGATCCTTGTTACAATCTAGCGATCTTGCAATGTTGTTGTGTCCATAAACGTTTGTATCCATTCTATTCATCTAGTTTAAATGATACTGTTGTATCTAGAAGCTTTTTATGTAGTACTTGGTGTTTACAATTTGTTACAGTTTTTATTCCGGCAGTCTGTGGCATGGGTATGTCACTATGGTTACCGGGTTCCACATAATTTCAATACTTCCGGGTTGCGCCTGTCTGCGCATGCGCACTTGGTTAATAGAGACGCCGGTACACTGCATGATATCACCTGTGGTGAGTTAATATTTCTTCTTATGGTTATATATTTGCACATTGTTGTTGTATGATTTGTTGTCAATTCACCTTGAGGAAAGCCCCGGACGAGGGCTGAAACGTCGGTGTGATGTACATTTAATATGCTTTGAATTAAGCGATTTTTTTCTACATTTCAAGTCCGTGAGTGCAAGCTACTTCGTGTTTATGTATATATATATATATATATATATATATATATATACATACACACAAATATAAATTTAATACATAACAGGTAAGAAATATATTCAAACATGACAGGTTCATTCTGTGCTGAGGTAGATCTCTTAAAAGATTTTAGATTGAATGAAGATTTGACTGTGTCCCTGAGGTTATTCCATAATGGCAGTGCTCTGTAGGAAAATGATGATTGAGCCACTTTATTTTTGTACTGTGGTATGCTAAATATTGTGCTAGTACTGGATCTGAGGTTATAGGAGGTGGGAACAGGCAGCAGAGTGAATTCTAGTCAGGTAGGGTGGGAGCTTCCCAGAAAAGCTCTTATGCTGGAAAGATGAAGCGTGCGTCTGGATTCTTGTGATAGCCAATTTAGCTCTTTTAATATGTCACAATGGTGGGTAAAGTAATTACATTCTAGTACAAAGCGGCAGAATGAATTATATAACGTATTGAGTTTATTAAAGGACCACTATAGTGCCAGGAAAACAAACTCATTTTCCTGGCTCTATAGGGTCTTTGGGTCCCCCCGCCGGTCTTAAGAGAGGTTAAAGGGTTGATCACTTACCTTTCTCCAGCACCGGGGGGTTTGTATGCTATTTATGATTTTCCAAATGTTTCTTGGGTTTGATATGTTATTGTTCAAATTTTCACTGAAATCGTGGGCCACTTGTGTTTGCTTTGTGCATGCATTTCGCCATTGTCTGTAGGCATGATGATCATTCATGGAGCCAGTACGCTTGAACTTTGACCACAGTGAATCTCTAAACTGGTTCATTTGAATGAAGTCAGCTGTAACCCTGGGAAGGTGTACCCCTATTATTCGCACTTTACAAACTATTTCAATTGCTTTTGTGATTTGTTCATTGCAAACAACTGAAAGTCTGTAAATAAATCTAATTTTCAATAGGGGTGAATAATTTTGGTTACAACTGTATTTATATATTCTCCTAACAATTAGCCACTCTTTCTCCAGGTTACTGCTATAACTCGCCTTGGTGCTAGACCTGCATTGAATATGTACAAACGAAAAAGAGTGCACTCTCAACTCGTAATGTGTTAAATTCAATTTAGTGAATTGCATTCCAAAAATATCCATGATTGATGTTTTGACCCGTTTGAGCCTGTTTCAAGATCATTTGTGCAAAACAAATTTTGACATGCAAATCAATTTATAACTTTTATAGACTGATCATTTCTTTGTCAGTGGGCAAACGTTCAAAATCAGCAGGGGATCAAATACTTTTTTCCCTTAATGTAAGAATAAGTAAGAACTTGAACACAAATATGAAATTGACTAGTGAAGGTGCGCTACAGTCTACGTACAAAATAAAAAAATAGGAAAGCAAATATCTACATTAAGTGTGCTAATTAGTTACAGTTGCATTTTCCATTTAACAAGAACTAATGAACAAATATCTAACATTATTCTGTTAATCAAATTCATATATTCAAGGCTAATGTGTGATCATGCAATCATTTTTTACAGAGGAATAAATTAAGCATAATGTCTTCTGTTATAGAAACCTGAAGTATAAAGGAATATATCCAACAAACATATTTCTGCAAACATCATTTAGATTTGTTGCTCCCTTTTCCTTCCCCCGTGGTAGTGGGCGAATGTGGTCAATGGCCATGAATCTCACTGTCGGAAGTCAGTGTTGGGCAGACAAAACATGTTTAGCCGCGGGTTTATTCGTATGTTTGTCCTGGAACACTGTGGTTATTGCAGACCAATGTCTTTTGAAGCTATCTCTCAATGATAAACCATAAGGACATGTGATCAGGTATATGGTGTGGTCTGCTTTCCTATAATTTTATTGATATTTATTTATTGCTTTTCTATTTCTTTAGTTTGTATGTAGACTTTAACACAGCCTCACTGTTAGCATATAACCCTCCCCACACATCATTGCCTACATTATCTCCCGCAGCTGTGTTGTCTAATAAACTAAGCCTTTATTGTAAACTCTTTCAGCATAATACATCTTACCCTTGCCTCCTGTGTCATTTTTCCCCACTCAGGGCAGGCCACTCAGCATTTTCTCTTCCTGTACATCCAACTTGTCTTGTTGTGACTAGTCAATGTTAAACAGCAAGGTGTCACATCATGCCATGTTCTGCAGAGATGTCTGGCCTTGGCTTCTGGTATCCCATACTCTTTTTACAATTCTTGTTTTGTTTTTCTTGGTTTTTCTGGTTTTCTATTCTATGTCTGGTTTTATTTATTGCTGGGATTTTCTGGGTTCATTCCTGTATTCCGTCCCAGGAATT